ATTGAGTAGCTTGGTTGTACTGGATGCAAAGGATCAGGGAGAGGAAAGGTAAGCCTTGGAGCCCCAGAAAGAGGCTGTCAGGCCCAGAAAGAGGCTGGCGGGTGTTGCAGGACCAGGGAAATAGAGGGAGGTGAGGGCGGGTCCGGGTCCAGAAGCAGTGCTCCTGGGGCCCAAGGAATGCCCTAAGTTGGTCTGGGTGAAAAAGATCAGGAAGCAGCACTGGTTCCCCAGGTGTCTGGGGACCCAAGACCAGGAATGGCGCAGGGCCCAAACCAGTAGCAGAGAACAGCGGGGGAGATGGAAGGGCGAATGAGGCGGGGGAGTCAAGGCGCAGAGGGCTGCGCGATAGACCCACCCCAAGAGGTTATTGTTGTGGCCGGATTGATTTTGTCTTCAGGAGTTCCATGGTGCCCCAATTCCAATGTGGGTCAGAAGTTTTCAGACTTTCTCCTTAGGTCTGGAATCTTCTAAGAATGATTTTGGCCTCAAGAACTTGGGTGTTGGCCTGACCTGAGATCCTGGCCGTGGCCGTCCCATGCAGGGATGCAAAGGAAGATGGGGTGGGAAGAAGCCCCAAGATTTCCCAGGGAAATCTTGTACTGGATGCAAAGGATCAAGGATTGGAAAGGTAAGCCTCGGAGCCCCAGAGAGAGGCTGTCAGCCCCAGAAAGAGGCTGGCGGGTGTTGCAGGACCAGGGAAGTAGAGGGAGGTGAGGGCAGGGCCAGATCCAGAAGCAGTGCTCCTGGGACCTAAGGCAGGCACTAAGTTGCTCTGGGTGAAAAAGATCAGGAAGCAGTATTGGTTCCCCAGGTGTCTGGGGACCCAAGACTAGGAATGGTGCAGGGCTCAAACTAGGAGTAGAGAACAGCAAGGGAGATGGAAGGGTGAATGAGGCCGGGGGAGTCAAGGGGTGGAGGGCTCCGCAATAGACTTACCCCAAGAGAGGCCTGAAGGTAGGTGAGCAGACTAGGAGAGCCAGCCTTCCAGGGAAGCAGAGAGAGGTGAGGGCGGGGCCAGGTCCAGAAGCAGTGCTCCTGGAGCCCAAGGAAGGCACCAAGCTGGCCTGGGTGAAAAGGATCAGGAAGCAGCACCGGTTCCCCAGGTGTCTGGGTCCCAAGACTAGGAATGGAGCAGGGCCCAAACCCGGAGCAGAGAACAGTGGGGGAGATGGAAGGGCGAATGAGGCCAGGGGAGTCAAGGCGCGTAGGGCTGCTATTATTTTTATTTTATGTGTATGCGTGTATTGCCTGCATGTGTGTAAGTGCACCCATGTGGTGCAATCCCCGCAGAAGACAGAAGAATGTCTTAGATCCCCTGGAGCTGGAGTTATAGACAGTTATTAGCTGCCATGTAGGTGTTAGGATTAAAACCCAGGTCTTCTGCAAGAACAGCCTGTGCTCTTAACCACTGAGTAATCTCTCCAGCTTGCAAAACATAATTTTAAAACAGAAGTGTTTATGTTTATGTATTTCGTGATATGATTTATAAAGGATAATCAAGTAACATAAAAGAATGTGGCAAAAAAATTGATGAAATTATTTTAAAATAAGCATTCAGAGGTGTAATACCTATAGTAATTAATTATATTGACTAGCATATTAAATTAGCCACAGCATCTATTTATAATACTACTGGAAAAGAGAAAATTTTATTGCATATGCATTTCTTTAATACTAGATTTACCCATCTAATATTATTTAGTTAAAGGTGACATTAATGTACTATGTCATCATGAACACACACCAACTAAGTAGCAAGAAGGCCTAGGTATATAGAGAAAAATCAACTTATGATCAAATACCTGTCATTAATAGATCATTGCATAGACAAATGGTATGCATATAGAAACAGGTAACCACTTTATGTCCTCAGTGCTTCCAAACTCAGCATCATTACTTTCTCAAATGGAAGTAAGGAGCACAGTGTTTTTTGTCACAATTATAGGCATAAGCATTATAGGATAAGGGTTAAGAATATAAACAGTTCTTGAATTTAGAGATTGATTTCCCACCATTTCTTAGCTGTGTGACCTTGGGTAAGGTGTCTTCAAGTTCACCACATCTCAGTGTTCTCATGTGTAAAGTACGAAAACAAGTATCAATGCCAGGACTGACCCTAGTCTGGGCAGAGGTCTCTTAGAAATACTTGTTTTATAGGATTCTTGCCTAATAATTGGTCCTAGTCACCTAAAACTGGCATACCATTTTCATTTCTGGATCTCTATTTCAGATAATCCTGAAATGGAAATATTTCATGGTTAGCAGTATCAATTCACTTGTGGGGTCAACTCTGTTGGAGTGGGGACCTGGCAGTGCAGGCCCAGCACAACCCTATAGGCATGTATTGATTGCTAAAGATCCTTAGTGGAGCTTATATAGTAGATTTATATCTAAAAGTTGCACAGGATTCGAAAGTCACCTAAGGGCAAAGAGATGGAGCAGGATCCATGCTTGGCAAAGTATAAGCAAGATACTGGTCTGTCTCTTAGGGCCATGGGTAAGATTGAATAAAATAATCTCTGTAAAGCAATTGACTCACAGAAAAGCCTCAGTACACAATAGCAGTGATTTACTACTCCCATCCTTATTATGAACAGTGTTCTTTGCATCTCATGTCTTGTCTTGCTTTCTTTCAGTGGATGGCTGCATTGACTGGTCAGTGGATCTCAAGACATACATGGCTCTGGCAGGTGAACCAGTCAGAGTGAAATGTGCCCTTTTCTACAGTTACATTCGCACCAACTACAGCATGGCCCAGAGTACTGGGCTCAGGCTTATGTGGTACAAAAATAAAGGTGATTTAGAAGAGCCTATCATCTTTTCAGAGGTCAGGATGAGCAAAGAGGACGATTCAATATGGTTTCACTCAGCTGAGGCTCAAGATAGTGGGTTCTACACTTGTGTTTTGAGGTAAGTGCCATATGAAAATATTGCTCCATCATATACTTGTAGTCTTTTGTTTGGGTATGAAGTGTAGGAGTGCCTGCCGATGTGACTCACATTATGAAGCAGATATGTTCTTGAAAGGTTTGCAGTGAATGGGGGACTTTGGTAAATTCAATTCCAATAATATATTGGAACTTCAAATTCTTATCAGATTGTCATAATATAGGTCTCCCATTTACTACATGTGCTTATTTAATTTAGAAAACTTTGTGACTCATTTCTTTCCCAACTCCACCCCTGCTCCAGGGTCTTATAATAACAGTTATTTCACGACAGAGCCAATTGATTCAACAGTCTTGACACCTGGCCATGAAAATGACCTCACATATCACTGAGGCCAAGGTCTTGCCTCTTTGGCTGATGGCAAATACTTTCAAATGCTGCTGAGAGACTTCACAGTAAGTGAGCTACTGCTTATATCGATCACAGAATTTGCGAAATGAGTTTTTTTCTACTTTGTCTAAATATTTGGCATAGAACTCAGTAAATGAATGTTCATTCTGAGTTTCTGAGTATATTTTGAAGATAAAGCAAATCAAATTTTTGCCCGAAATTTATAGTGATAAATTGTTTAACCTTAGGGATTCTACAATATATTCTCCCCTCCCCCTTCCAATTCTATGTTGGGACTTAAGATCTAGCAGCTCAGGTAGAGACTGCATTAGGTATTAAAGTAGATAGCTGAGATGACCTTTAAGTCACCTTTCAGTTCTGCCATTTTGACAGTCAATGGTCTTGCTCACCAGGGACCTGCACTCTACTATTTGATTTTAACTTCTTGGAAATCCAGACCCTTCCTATTTTTGTTTCCTATGGACTTTGATGTGAAAGCCATGTAACTTCTTCATCAAAAGCACTTAGAAATCCCTGGTGAGTCCTCATTGTTCTAAAGGCCAAGAGAACAAGGTGGTGTATAAATAGAGAACCTTCCTGAAGCTTTAACAATCACTTTTCTGTTTGTGTGCAGGGTAGTGCTAGGGGAGCAAATGGTGAGTTTAGTTTCTTTATGAGGTGGAAAGAAGCCCCAGGGTCTTGGCAGAGCAGTAATTATTCTCACAACATTCCTAGTGATAGGCAATGTACCTGGACAGCTCTTGGTTGTCAGAAATAATTGTCATTCAATTTTAAAGACTGATGTTCTATTTTGCAGGATTCTTTGCCTGCTTAGTCCCTGTAATCATTAAACCACTCAAACCGGCTATCAAAAATATCTTTTTCTCCCACTACTCTATTTGCTTTTGTTTCTGTTTGTTTTCAAAAAGTTAAAGTTCCTTTGCAAAACAATATCCCACCATATAAAAGCTTTATAATGAATCAATAAACAAATTATTGCTGACTACTTCTACCATTCATAAATTTTGCTAACTTCTTTCTCTTCCCCTCTGCCCTCAAATCCATGCTCTTACTCTTAGCAAAGTTAACAGCTTAGTATATACATTAGATATATTTCCCCAGTCTTAATCGCACAAGCATTATTACACAGAGGTATGCTCACCATTGTTCAACAAAAAAATGAACAGCTGTATGTTAATATCTCTATGCATTCCTTTTGTTAGTAAAAATGTATAGTGGAAGTATCTCCCAGTGAATTGATTGCTCACTCTTTAACTTTAGGTATTTAATATTTTAGGTATATAAAAATTTTAGGAATATAGTAGGCACCAATTTAATAATTTCCTGATTGAAGAGCATATACCTTGTTTTCAGACTTTTATACTAACAAAGGGGCTATAATTATAATCTATTGTTTAAGAACAAATGTTCAGCTTTTTGAAGTTTAAAATATGCAGAATTATTGTAAAGATAGTATACTTTCTATGTATCATACACTCTTATTAATAAGTCAATGAAACAAGGTAATAATGGCACATGAGTATAAACTAAAGTACATGTTTTGCATTTCCTCAGTTTTTCCTTACCATTCTTTTTCTTTTACAAGATCTCATCCAGGATATTCCATTCCATTAAGTTGTTATGTGTGTTTAAGCTCTTTTTGGCTATGGCACTTCCTCAGAGTTGCCTTTGTTTTTATTAACTTTGGAAGCTTAAGATAAAGTGGTCAGGTATGTTGTGAAATGTCCCTCAACTGAGATTTATCTGGGACAGTGTTTCATGGTGTAAGGAAGATCACAGGCCTAAAGTGCCACTCTCATCATCACTGGGCCAAGATCTTGCCTCTCTAGTTGATGGAATATATTTTCAAATGCATTTTTGTTTTTTAAGCATTTCTTTATATTACTAAAAGGTGCTCCAGACTTATCTTTAATATATCCTGATTTAGACTGACAATCAGGTATTTTCCTAAAAGCCCATATTATTTTTAATAAAGATTATAGTTGAATAGATAACAGAAACAGGATGTGAAAGCTAGGTATGCTCACTACAGGTTAGGTGATATTTCTAAGTCCTTTCAGCTCATGGTCTATTAGCTTTTGAACAAAGTCTTACAGTTTTTCTTTTTCACTTATTTTTGCCATGCTTGAGGTGGAACCCAGGGCCTTTCACATTATAGGCAAGATCTTTACTACTGAACTACAACCTTAGCTGAAGTCTCGTATTATTTCATGGATTTGATTCTGCAGATGGTGAATGAACATTCCTTAGGTAGTAGAACTTCCCAATATCCTTGAAGTCTTTCCTGTGGTGCCCCACTATTTCTTTTTCACATGAGATTGGCTTTACTTATACCTATTGTAGATATCATCTGAGCCAGTGGCTCTAAACTTGCAGGTAGATCGATAGCAGAGACTTCGACTTAATCATAACTTCTGACTTCATTTACTTGTGAAGCAGGTCTTAGGGTGCAGGTGGAACTGATTGGGATGTGCAGAAATATGAATAATATCTGTCATATGTGCCTTGGTGAGGCATGCTGAAGATTGGGAACCACTTTCCTACAGGAATTAATCAGTCTTGTCAACTCAGAGATGTGGGAATTTACATTGTAGAATGAAGTATAATGGCATATGTATGTGAAAATTCCATAATAAAGCCCATCACTTTGTATGCTAATGTAAAAATTTAGTGAAAAAGCAATCATTTTTCTACTGTACGGCCATGAAATAGCTAGCATTGGGTTGTGAATAGTAAACCTGATTCACTGATCTAGCAGTAGCCACTGACTTCAAATACATGCCAAGTGAGAAAATCAGTCCATGCGGCTGATTCCATTCAATTGCTAACAGTGACATAATATGGTTAGTAAAAAGTTCTTAAGCTGACAGTGTTAATATTCATCTAGAATTCAAAATTTCACTTTGAGGTAATCATAAAATATTTAATTATGCATTATTGACCTCATTGGAAATTATTCTGTTAGCTTCATTATACTTCACAATAAAGATATGGAATATTTGGTAATATCCTCCACCCATTTAAATCACAGCAAGAAGTCCACTGTTTGTGACATGCCAGCAAATAATTCCTCATTTTACAGCTTTTCTTTGCTCGACCTCAGCATATTAATGATTTACTAACAGAGTAATAATACAGCATTTAGTTATATATTTGAAGGCAGTGCCAATTCAAAAGGGCAACACTGGGGTATATGCAGGGTATACCAGATCTCAAAGTATACTACAGAGCTATAGTCATAAAAGCAACATGGTATTGGCATAAAAATAGACATATAGATCAATAGAACATTATTGAAGACCCAAACCTGAGTACATGCAATTTCAGCCACCTGATATTTGACAAAGGTGCCAAGAACACACAACAGAGGAAAGACAGCAGCTTCAACAAATGGTGCTGGCAAAATTGGATCTCCACCTTTAGAAGAATGAAACTAAATCCTTATCCTTCACCTTGCACAAACGTCAACTCCAAATGGATCAAAGACCTCAATGCAAAATTCAAAACTCTGCAACTATTAGAAGAAAACCTTGGCAGTAACTTAGATATAGGTGTAGGAAAGGACTTTCTTAATCAGGCACCAGTTGCTCAGGAATTAGGGTCAACAATCAACAAGTGGGACCTCATTAAACTAAAAACTTTTGTATGTTATGGACCCCAGGACTACTGAGGAAAGACTACCAGACTCAATTCAGATCAAGATAAAAGATTTTGTTCAAGCTAGCTTGGACTGCAGCCACCACATAGGATTAGAGTGCTGCAGTGGGGAGGAAGAGGGAAAAGAGACTTTTAAAGTTAAAAACCACAAAGAGGAATGTTGACAAGGTGATTCCTGAATAACAGGGTAGAGGGTGATCTCAGTCTACATGTCAAGGTGCCCTAAAATAGCAAAATGAGCAAGTTACAGAAGCCAGAATCAGCAGTTATTCATATCATAATAATTTTGTTTTCTATGTATCTAGAGAGCAAGTGACCCTGGCAGCATTCTCCTTGGAGGTAAGGGAGAAAGGGGTCAGGGTTTCTGAAATCAGTCCTTGGGCTAGAAATACACTATGGCTAAGCTTCTAAGATGGTTACTTTATCCAAAATGGGGTCAGTTTGGTGAGTACATTCCCCACTGGCTCTGGTTCATACGGATCAAATCATTGATCCATATTTGTTACAGGTTGGTATCGAGCCTGTAATGCTGATATTTTGACAGAGCTGATTCTCTTCCTAATATATCCCAGTAACCAATTTAAAACGCAAGGGCCCACAGTAACAACTAAAAGTAGTAGGAGCAGGGGGCCCGCAATTGCTGTTAAGAGAGTATTTAGCCATGGAGACAGGAGAAGAGGGACTCATACCAATTTGAAGCCTTAGATCGTTCTTTGGCTCTTTGATGTAGGTTTTGTTTTATTAAAACTAGAGTTTCTCTAATCATCCCTAAATTATTTGCATAAAAACATCATTTTTTCATCTAAACCTACATAAAGACCTCCTTCCTTTAAGAACAACAGGTGCAGCCCCCTATGGTTCTGCAAAACCATTTCTGCTAGGGAGTCTACTTGTTTCTCCAATTGCCCTATCTTAAAGCTCTAATCCCCCAGAGCCAAAGCCTAAACTCCTAA